ATAATATATAAGTTGTCATACAAGCACCCCTCCTCATTATTGGTGAGGCATCACTGGATTGCCATTTATGTCCCCATGGTTTTAAAAGATCAGAAACCATCACTGTGACTAAGGTGCTGCTTCCGTACTGAAGTGCAGAAATGTGCTATAAATTGATATGTAGTTAACGTTCCTCCATGGAACAATATCAATAACTTTAAGCCTAAAAGAGCTTTTAAAAATAGCAATGCTCCATTTATATAAATAGGTAGTTATGACAGGTGGGATTTTAATGTTCAATTAAATACATTTTCTCGGAAGAAAAGTTTTCCCCGACAAATTCCATTTTTGTGAGATTACTGGCCATTTTTATTCTCCCAAGAGGAGAGCAGCATCCAGGTTTCAAAAAAAGTAAGGTGCAAACCATACCTTAATGTTTTGTTTTTAAACTAGAATCTGTGATAAAATAAAGCATGACTAAGGAAACATGCATGTTGATTTTTCTGAAAGCCTCTCTGTTATTTTATCACCCACTCTTCTAATATAATCGTTTTCTAGGGTGTCAGTGGTAATGTAAATACCAGTTACAACGCTGTTCTGGGCTGTACTTGCACTCGGTGTTAGCAGTACTAAAATTTGCTTCATGTTCTCTAGCATTTTAAGGAGAGCTGGGGCATTTCATAGCTCTGTGGGTGCACTGACTCAATCCCAAGCATTTGTGTCCAAGGCTCTACACGGCACGAGGAGACAGAGGTGTAGAATACACACCCCTTGCCCTAATAGAGGCCGGTTGGAGAAACCCACTTGCAACTAATTATGAGCCAAATGTCGGAGTTAGGACTGTGACAGAGGTATAAATAAAGGGGTGAATGGGCATGGCAGAAGGGTGGTTAATTCTGCAGGGAGTGGAGAGTTGGGATGGCGCAAAGCAGAAGACTTCACAGAAGGGCAGTGATTCAGTTCTAAAGGATGAACAGAGTTCTGATAGGCAGGACCCACATGTCAGGACATTCCAGGAACAGGGGCAGCTTGCACAGGGAGTTGGGATGGGAGGTGGGATTCTCGGCATAACTGGTCAGTGTTCTAGATGGTGCCTGAGGGATGGTAGAGATGGTAGGTTGTGGCCAAATCTTCCAGGGTCGTAAATGTCACATTTGGGCATGTGGATTTTAATCTTTAGTCATGATTCAACTCAAGGACCAAAAAGCCATCTGTAAAATCAATGAAATCAGTTACAGGTGTGTAGAAAATAACCCCAGGAAGAAAGTATCGCCTTTGTGAACTGGGGGAGGTGCAGTGAGAAAGGAGAGTGTAGCTCCAGGGCCTGTGGAAAGAGAATGGAGTGGAGTGAGGGCCGTATAGGTGTGGATGTTGCGTGAAAGGGAGAAGCTGGTGACTCTGAGGCTTCATGTTTGGGGGTGTGAGCAGACTGGAGGACAACTCCAAAGACAAGCAATTCTGTAGGGACATACAATGATTTCAGTTCAGGACATGTGTTATAGTGCCGTATGAAACACAGAGGGAGATATCTGGTAGGCCTAAAATCTAGGTAGACTTTGGAGCTAGAGATATGGGTGTCAGAATCATCTCTTTCTTCCTTTGTTTTTATGTTTGTTTGTTTGTTTGGGTCTGCTTGTTTTTGAGAGAGAGAAAGAGCTCATGAGCAGGAAAGGGGCAGAGAGAGAGGGAGAAAGAGAGAGAGAGAAACCCAAGCAGGCTCCGAGCTGTCAGCACAAAGCCCAAGGCAGAGCCCAAACCCACAAACCTTGAGATCATGACCTGAGCCAAAACCAAGAGTCAGATATTTAACCAACTCAACCACCCAGGCACCCCTAGAACCACCTCTTAGTATGAAGGCACACTGGAAGAATGAGGGGCAAGATCACCCTCATTTGGAGCAAGATAATGGGACTAAACAAGAAACCTAGAGGGTCATCTCCAGTTAAGCGGTACTCTCTGTGTCCCTTAATCAACATCATATTGTTCTCACTAGTTTTTATTTTTCTAGTTTGCAGTCTAGTGCATATGTAACTAGGAAGAGAAATCTAAACTGATTTCTGTAACAGAACTAATAGCATCATAAAACTAATAAATAACATTTATATAGCACTCTACAGTTTACAGAGCCCTTGCATACAACACAGGGGCAGAGGATTGTTTAAGGTCTCAGTGAAAAACCGTTACCACAAGGCCTTCCAGCCTCCCTTCTGAAAGATCTCGTGTGAGATTCCATTTCTTGCTGGCTTTGCGTATTGAATTATTTACTACTCACCACATTCCAGAGAGGCAAGTTCTGATCCTCACTCTACAGAGAGAAAATCGGGGAGACTGACTGATTTGCCACAAGTCACACACTGTTGGTGGAGGAAGTGATAAACTAACCCAGACTTTTATAATAAAATTATCTATTACTGTATAACAATTTACCCCAAATTTAGCAGCTGAAACCAACAATAAACATCTAGCATCTCACACAGTTTCTCTGGCATGGCTAACTGGATGGTTCTGGGGCCTCCCATGCAATGGCAGACAAGGAGTCTGCCAGAGCTGTGGCCATCTGAAGGTTCGACTGGGGCTGGTGGACAGACTGCTCATGAGCCTGGCAAGTTGATGGTGACAGCTGGCAGGAGACCTCAGTTCCTTGTCACATGGGCTTCTCCATTGAGTTACTTGAATGTCCCCATCATATATTATCTGTCTTCCTCAGAGAGAGTAATCTGAGAAAGCAAGGGAAACTATAATGGTTTTAAGGCCCAACCTTGGAAGTCACATTCCATCATTTCTGCAAAATCCTCTTGATTACACAAGTCAGTCTAAATCACTATAGGAGGGGACCATGCAAGGACACAGTTACCAGGAAGAAGAAAGACAATGGTCATTGGGAGTATCTTAGAGATTGAGTATCACACCATATTATTTATCCCCAATACTCTCATTGTCAACTTTCAGAATTTATGACTCATCCTTCTGCAAATTAAAGACTTTCCAAAGAGATGTTTGTCTTGAAACATTTTATAATTCAGTATTCAAATAATATTGTTTAAATTGGTAAAAATGTTTGAGGCTCTAGTATTGAAAAATTTGTAATCAAACAGTAAACAGTTGCTTGCCTGATTAAAAAAAAAAAAAAAAACTTAAATGAGAAGGTACCCCCATCACACTTGGTAATGAATGAAGTCTTTAAGTGGACTCCTCATGTCATTTATCTGGTTGAATCATTGAAATAAATCGTATCAAACAAGACCTCTGGAAATCACCCAAATGAATAGAATGTGCCATTAATCAAGATGCCAGTTAGATGAATTCTACGCTTTTGGCGGCTGCATGAGAAAAAGCTTGTACATTGTCCACCTTATATTTTAAGATTTTTAAAAGACAGGAAAGCCTGGTAGAAAAACTTAGATAAAGTTTACATGCCACTTGCATGTACTGTACACACTCTCAGTAACTCAGTAACTCCATCTGAGATATGCTGAAAGGTGACAAGAAAGTGACAGCCAGAGGGGGCCCTCGCTTGCTAATCACAAAACCAAGGCTCTCACCTCCACAGTGTTGTTGCCACACAGCAGTGCCCTGAGTAGAATTCCTCATCTAAGCCTGTAGCCATAACGAAACATCCCCTAGCCTGGGTTTTGCTCCTCCTCAGGCTGTTGCCCTATCTCATTCATTTGTGTGCTGCTAGATTTCATGAATCAGAAGCCATTTCCTCAACCTCGTCTTCCTCACCACCCCCTAGTCTTCAGGCTCTCAGAGTATCTTGTGTTCCCCGCCCCTGCTCTGCCAAACCTGCTCTCTCACAATCCAGCAACTATCACATGAACCCAGCAAATGCAGAGCTGTGAGTCCCCACCATACTTCCTAAATTTATCTGTGGCACACACGACTCTGTGCTCTGTTAATCTCTGTGGATCTCTGCCTCTTCTGTCTTCTCGTAGTCCTACATCACAGAAGAAAAGTAACATTTTTTTTCTCTTGATCCCTTTCCTCAGCCTCACCCTCTAGTGCTGCCTGCCTTTCTGTTCCCATTCCCTACCTCAGCTCCAGCCATCTTTGCAAAATGGACCTTTTCTGCATTCATAATTTAGATTCTGATCTCTCTCCCAGGTCCTGTGTCTCTAGAAGACTTCAAACTCAGTAAGTCTAAAACTGAACTGGTCATCCCCATGCCTCTATCACATTGTACTGTTCCCCCACATTGCATCACCATGTCCAGAGTCACTGAGATAACCATTCATCTTGACCTTTACTTCTCCCTTGCACTTCACATTTTGTAACTCCCTGGGCCTTCTAAGTCCTGCCTTTCTACCTCCCTCCTCCTGCTGCCATACTCAGTCTGTCATCTCTTGCCTAAGCTCTGAGACAGTCATCTATGCAAAACTTTATAGTTCCTAAAGCAAGCTTTAAACACGGCACTTGCCCAAATAGCCTTGCCCTATATAACCCATACTGTGTCTTTTACTGATCATCAGTACTTTCCCTATTTCAAATTTCCCAGATTGCATGTATCTTTTGAAGTCTAGATCAAATATCATTTTTTCTTTAACTTTGTGGGCACCCCTTTATTTTTTAAAATGATTACTTCATCCTCTCATATCTTTAAACATTTTGTACCATTTGGAGCACAACTTATTTCATATTGCATTGTCTGTCCTTTATTTGGCCAAGTAAGTTGTAAGCAGGTTCCTCACTTATTTAACTCATGTGTTTCTCCCCAGTTTGTGCTATGGGGATTTGATCCTTGTAAGTTTATTGTTGAGTAAATGACTCTTACTAAAAGGATTTTTAAAACTCAACAGCATATTTTATTTCACGCATCCTCATTCATTGTTGGCTTTCATAAATTGGTTTGAGAGCATTTTTCATCCCCTTTAACTCTGCCCATGTCCAGTCATCTCTAGAAGCATACTGGACACAGCTGAGGAGTGATTATGTTTGGAAATTGCTGTAAACAGGGTTTCCTTTTAGTTGTAGCTTGTTCTCATGGACCCACTCTGTAACTGACCTGACACTTCTCATTTCAGGGAGAATGGAGAAGAAAAGAGAACAAAAAGCAACTTCAGGTAAGATTTGGACTAATTAGTTCCAATTATTTCCTGTTTTTACTTTCACCTTTAAAAAAACTCTACTTGCAATTGAATATTCTAAAACCCACACTAAAAAAGTAATGGTTTATGGTCCTACAATTGATTGACACTAAATTAATTAAAATAAATTAACACATTTAGCTTTTTCACTTTCACATCAATCATGTCCTTCTCATTCTCTCACTCTATTCAAAAGAAAATGACACAGAATGTGATTTTTTTATCATTCCCTATTAAAAGGTAAGTCTTATAACCACCAACTTTTAAAATTGGAGCTGTAACAGTTGACAACCAGTTTATTTGCCCAAATATCAATGAATCTTTATTATTTGTCTTAAAACCATTTATGGAGTCAATTTTTTCAGGACAGTGTTGACTACTTAACCAAAAAGAATCTTTAAATTTTGAAGGGATTGTAAGAATTATTCCCTTCCTAAATTCTAATGTATATCCGGAAGTGAATGATGTTTTGACACAGTGCCATTGTGCATAGTAGGGGCCACTATTTGCTGACTGATACAGAAATAAGTTTTTAAACTTCCAGATTTGTATTGCTTGGTTTTTGGCTTGAAGTCATGAGGTATGATAAAAGTGCATTTGCCAAGTAAATCTTTGCAAAAGGGCAATCTTCCAGCTTCCGGTGCCTAAAAATTGCCAGTTATCCTAGAGAATTCTAATTTTGCCTATTTACCGGTGCCCACCACCCTTCCCAAATGTCTACCAACCCATTATTCTATGACATGTACCAGATGCCAACATAAGGACACATTGTTCCCAGCCACCATCTTCTTTTAAATGCATTTTTTTTTTGTCTCATAACAAGACAAACTGTATTTGTCTGTTTGCAATGTGTGTCTACAAACAGTGTGGTCAATAGAAGATAAAAATCTGAATTAATAAAAAATGTACAAACAACCTAAGCCCCTGTCCCTTTTCTCCTTCTCAATCCTAGCATTCATCTTAGACAGCTGAGCAATGTACTACCTGTATGACTTCCCTCTTAAATGTTATTGTTTGCATTCTCTTTGTGGATCTTTTAAAGCTTGATCATTAATACCAAAAAGAAAAAAAATGTGAAGGCAAGAAAGTGTCTTTTCTCCTGACAGATATGATTACCTCCACAATAGCTCCTTGGGGGAAGATTATTTATACTGTTTCTAAAATGCTGCTGTTATGATCCTATAGGTACTAGCTTAAAGAAACTTTACAGTTCGAGAGAAAGCTAAATTGGCCACAGTGGTAAACCAGATGTCTCTTTCAGTTCCCTTGGTATTCATGGATTCTAATATTCTTTGTGACCAAAGGTGACACAAAGAGCTAGAGACAAAGGCAGAACAAGAACTCCGGTTCCTTGACTCCTTATTCTTTTCAGTGTCTCGTCACCCTGACCTTCCTTACAAATCAAAGCACCAGTCACTTCAATACTGTGTTGAATGTCTAGCTTAATAAAATATTTTTCAACAATTGGAAAATCTTTTTAAGGCAACAAGGTCTCTGCAGGGAACACTAGTCACCAGGGTTATGAGCAAACTCCTTTTATTAATGGAACTAATCTACCTCAACTGATTCACAGCTTGTCAGTGTGTCTGATTTTTAGGAGAAAGTGAAAGAAACTTTATGAGAAGGTGAAGTCAAAGATAGTTAACAGGGGTGCCTGGGTGGCTCAGTCGGTTAAGCGTCTGACTCTTGATATAGGCTCAGGTCATGATCTCACAGTGGTGAGATCCAGTCCTGTGTCAGGCTCTCATTGGGTGTGGAGTCTGCTTAAGAACACTTCTCTCCCTCCTCCTCTGCCCCTCCCTCACTCGTAGTCTCTGTCTCTCTCACACAAACAAACAACAAAAAAACAACAAACCTGTTAACTGACAGAGTTCAAATTATTGGGGAAATTTACTAGACTCCTCATCATTTCAAAGAACACAAATCGAGTCCGGACAAAATCTATTTGTGTAAAAATAGTCTGAGTTTTGAAAATTGAGACCTAACCTTTGTCAATGTAGTCATAATTATCACCGTCTTCGGTTTGTGATGCTAGTCTGAATATGTGCATCTTTAGATGTCAGGAATGTCATGGGTATCCCTGCTTCTGACATCTGCAAGGACTTCTTTGTATCACCTGTTGTTCATTCTGCTCAGATTCTGTGTCCTGTCTGCTGAACTAGAGAATGTTCCCACACCCTTTTCTTTGTAGCAGATCCATCTCCCAGCTATAGGAAATCAGCATTAGTTCCTGGACCCTTTCAGTCTACTCCATCTTGTTGTACTCATCGTGATGAAAACCAAGGAAAAAAAGTTATAGACAAAAATATTGCCCATTAAAACAGGGACTTCCAGGACCCTTACTTTTTGATTGGTTAAGGTTGGTTAATTCTTTGTTTAAGGAATCGTGGACTAAGATGAAAGTTACAGAGGTAAGATTTTACTCAGGATAAGAAATAATTTCCTAACAAGGAAACATCTCCAAGACTGGAAAGAATGAGATTATGTTAGCAAAATTGTACGGAGGTTGGGCCATCACCTATAAGGAACGGTAATAAGAGATTCTTAAAGAATTTGGTTTGATCATTGCTAAGGTGCTTTCCAATTTTGTATCTGTGATTCTACTCACCATTATTACTTTATTGAAATGACTCTCCTATGTGTATCTGGATCAACACACACACCCCTAAATGGTTCAGATTTCATTATATAATGGAATGAATTATGTTCCAAAGCTTAAGCTTAATTAGTTTGGACTGAGTCACTCAGGAAAGCATATAGCCAGTGGGGCTAAGACTATAGAAAAATATTCTCCTGTAGTCAATTTAGTTTCTTTTGGGGAGAAAGTTGTTCCACCCTGATTGCAACCCTGGCTGTACTTTCAAATATGATGTTCTTCTTGATAAACCAGGACTAAATCATAAGACAATATGTATAATCTGGTAAACTTAGCCATTTTGGAAGAATAATTCAAAGCGTATAACTCTTGACACTGAACCTGGGAGCCCGTGTCAAATTCATACAACATAGCCAGCAAGAGCAAAGATGAATTTAGCTATCTGGGTTGGTAAAGGATATTTAAAGTATATGGTAATATAATGATAAATAAGGAAAATAGAAGGAGGCAAGTTCCTGATATCATCAATTATCTATTTGCCCATAATTTTTTATGACCCAATTTATTTACCATAAAAATAGAAAAAAATGACAAAGGGTATTCCACAGATTTTGTATAAAAACTCCATTTAATTTGGTGAGTTTTCACTTATGGAAAAGAGACCCCTTTTTGGATCAAGGAATTCTTGATATTAAAGAGTAACACAATAAAAAATACAAAGAAGAATTCTCACAGAGAAAGGTGCTTCATAAGTATAGTTTAGAAAAAGCATATTATTTAGAAGGCTTACTAAAGTAGACTATAGAGAAGCCAACTGTTAAATATATATTGTTCCAGATTTTTCTAAGAAAGAGAACCCTTTCAACTCTAGTTAAGTATTAAGTAAAGAATAGTCCTAGTGGGCCAGAGAATGGAGTTATAGGTGGAAAGGATAAGGACTATTTTAAAATGAAGTTGCATACTTTTTATTTAAGACATTAGATCATACCTAAAGTTGGAGAGGTTTGTTCACTTGCATTATTTGCAAAAAGTTACCAGTAAGGAAGAACAATCTTATTTTTTTTTTCTCAACACAAAAGGTGACATGTATTAATGAAAATTCAGCAAATGGTAGAACATCTGCTTTGTACAAGCTCAGTCCCTTGTTGCTTACTTTGTGACTGTACTTTGGAAGGGACCATGATTTGTTCCCTTCTTTGGAATGTCCTAAAACATCAATAGCACGCCAGTTTTAAGACTTTCAACACTCATTGGGGCGCCTGGGTGGCTCAGCCGGTTAAGCGTCCAACTTCGGCTCAGGTCATGATCTCATGGTTTGTGGGTTCAAGCCCCGCATCGGGCTCTGTGCTGACAGTTCAGAACCTGGAACCTGTTTCAGTTTCTGTATCTCCCTCTCTCTCTGACCCTCCTGTTCATGCTGTCTCTGCCTCTCTCTTAGAAATAAATAAAAGAAAAAAAATTTTTTAAATGACTTTCAACACTCATTTAACATGCAGCCATTCAGGAGTTTAAAAAATAGTTAAATAAACAGGACAGGGATGTCCCATTTCACCACTGTTGTTCAACATAGTGTTGGATGTTCTAGCCTTGTAAATCAGACAACAAAAAGAAATGAAAGGCATCCAAGTCAGCAAGGAAGAAGCAAACTTTCACTCTTCACAGACAACATGATAGTCTACATAGAAAACCCAAAAGACTCCACCACAAAACTTCTAGAACTGATACATGAATTCAGCAAAGCAGCAGGATATAAAATCAATGTACAGAATTCAGTTGCATTTCTATATACCAATAATGAAGCAGCAGAAAGAGAAATCAAGGAATTGATTCCATTTACAATTGCACTGAAAACCATAAAATATCTAGGAATAAACCTAACTAAAGAGGCTTTTGCCTCTATACTATATATACTCTGAAAGCTACAGAAAGCTTATGAAACAAATTGAAGAAGACACAAAGGAATGGGAAAACATTCCATGCTCATGGATTGGAAAATGTCAATACCTCCCAAAGCAATCTATACATTCAGTGTAATCCCTATCAAAATAATACCAGCATTCTTTACAGAGCTAGAAAAAATAATTCTAAAATTTGTATGGAGCTGCAAAAGACCCTGGATAGCTAAAGTAATGTTGAAAAATAAAACCAAAGCTTGAGTCATCACAATCCCAGACTTTAGACCTTATTACAAAGTTGTAATCATCAAGACAGTATGGTAGTGACATAAAAGCAGACACATAGATCAGCGGAACAGCATAAAGGACCCAGAAATGGACCCACAAATGTATGGCCAACTAATCTTTGACACAACAGGAAAGAATATCCAATGGAAAAAAGACAATCTTTTCAGCAAATGGTGTTGGGGAAACTGGACAGCAAC